TTGCAAGTGTGAACATTTTTCACTGATGATGGTAGTAGACCTACCGAAACGTGTCTGATGTTGTGGCTGTGAAGGCCAATGCATTAAATATAGGCACTAGCGTAGAATGAGCTGTTGTAAAATGCGTTTACTTAGTTAATTTATAAGGCCTATATAATTATATACATAGATGTAGTTTCTTTAAAAATGTCGGTTGTAGCATTATGCCAAGTATTAAGCAATATTAATATTAATACATTTCTTGTTCTTAGTTTTAATAAAACATTTAAACATTCAACAAACAATCAAAAGAAATATAAGACGTCTTACAAATGATCACACTCGCACATGATTTTATAACCATTTCTAAGTCATGCTAGTAGGAGGACCACAAATTAACATCACCGCGAGTAATATATAAAACAGTAAGAAAGCAAAAAGCGTTGTACATTGAGATCAGAGATTTTATTATCACAAGCCAGTGGCGTCGCCAGGGGGGTGCGGAGGGTGCGAACGCACCCCCCTCCAGACCCAAAAAATAAATAAATAAATAAAAAAAATTAAAAAAATTAAAAAAAAAGAAGATAAAAATTTTAAAAAAATTGGTAAGGGGGGGGGGGGGGGGGGAACCATTCTTTGAGAAGAGTTCTTCCAGTAGGCAGTACGAGTAGCCCGGTAGGCAGTACATTAGTTTTGAACAGTTCATGTCTGCAACACCAGCACCGCTGCCTGACATTGGAGTTGTTAAGTTTTTTTTTCCAAAAAAGCACCCCCCCCCCTTGAAAAAAGCTGGTGACGGCCATGCAAGCTTTCATATCTTCTTCGGGTGAATGAAGTGAATATATAATTAGATACGTCACACAAACACAGGATTACTATATCCGGATACTCACTACACCCAAAGGTCGTCGGCGCTGACGAGATTCTCTGAAGAACGCAACGCGACGATGCGCGGCGAAACGGATCGTTTTTAATGACGATCCAATTAGAGTGCCACTGACAATCAACAGACGGCGTTTTCTAGTGTTCACAGCACTAGTGGCGCCAGGATTATATATATACTGTCTCTTATACACATATATATATATATAATTTTTTTTAACTTTTACATTTCTTGTGTTTTCGAATTTTTGTTTCACCCATTTATTAATCGTTTTCAGTTTTCTAAGTGGGCCCTACATATCTGTTAAAAGGGTCACATACCCTTACATAGGGGACACTAAATGAAAACGGAAAATGTGTTTTTTAATAAAGATTTTTTGCACGCAGTTATGGTCTACAACTTGAGCTGTCTCTTGATTAGGGGTGTCCCAAATAGATGGATTGATTTAGCATGACAATTGAAAAGGAAACACTAATGCACAATCAAACTGTTTGCGTTATTATGCTCAAGGTTGTATATACTAATTGCACACTTAACCTACATTTCTAAATACGACCTTAAAACCAATACCGTAGTTAGTGTGCCTAGTACTATTGAATCAGTACATGGTCAGTATATAATAAAAAAGAGAGTGTATTACCAATCGCACTTCCTAGATTGTCACCAAGAAAGACATGGTAGGCCTACTGTGTCCGGCTTGACATCAGCATTCGTCATCGACAACATTATTATCATCCATTTAAAACTAATAATGATTATTTTTTATTCAAGTTTATTTTAATGCGGTTGACCTAAAGCTCTGTTCACACTATCAAATTCTATGCGACAGATTTGTGAAATATAGGCGTGATGATGTCATATTACGCCTAAATATCGGCATTTCACATTTAGTTGCCACATAAAATTTGATGGCGTGGACGGAGCCTAATATTCATTTTGAATTAAGGGGGCTCTAAACCTAATGCTATTACTGCATTTGCTTTTGCCAATGTTTTCTATTAGCGTTACATCATGGTCTATTGAAAAATGATAGACAATGGAAGCTTTTGAGATGTGGTGTTGGTAGAGACTTTTAGGAATATTGTGGAAAGAGAAAAAGACAAATGAATATGTGATGTCCGTCATTGGAAAGAGAACTAGTCTATATGCATGGTCT